AAGCACTAGACATGAGGTTGAGGGTGCAGAGAATATCCTGAAGGCAGGGGGCTGTGGCTGAGGGGCCACCTCCTTCAGAGGGAACAGCCAGCCTCCCTGGAAGATGGAGGGTGCAGTGTGGTACACATCTTAACAGGCATCAACAAAGGCACAATGGTGTGGACAAACAGGGACTGTTGGAGGAACAGTGAGCAGCAAATGGACTCTGAAACAAATCTATGAAATGCCGAAACAAATAAACAAATAAAATCCAACTAAACTTAAAAAAAAAAAAAAACTAAAAAAAAATTATAAAATGCCAAAAAAAAAAAAAAAAAAAAAACCAACAAAACTAAAAAAAAAAAAAAAAAAAAAAAAGGCACTGCAGCCAATTGCTTAGGCTGAGTGACGGCAATGCCGATTGCAGGAAGGGGAGCCAGTGGTCTGAAGCAGGGGACTCCCAGGTCTTCAGCTGGATGCCCCACCATACTACTTCCTTCAGATCCCCTAAGGCCTCATGCCATTAGCTCAGGGGAGGGATGGCCAGCAGAACAGAGAAATGGAGAGGGTATAGCTTTGGACTCACAGACCAGAGTTCGAATCTCAGCTCCAACACTTGGAGCTGTGTGGCTCTTGGCAAATCAACCAAACCCTGCCCGAGTTTTCACCCCCATAAAATATTAGTAGATAATACTTTTTCCTCAGAGTTATAATGTGTGTAAAGCATGTAGAATTGTATCAGAGGACAAAATCAACAGAGTGAAAGGCAACCTAAAAGAGTGGAAGAAAATATTTGCCAACCATTTACCTGATGAGGGGTTTTTATCAAATCTGTAATGAACTCCTTCAGCTGGGGGCTGGAAAGATGGCTCAGTGGTTAAGGGCACTTGCTGTTTTTTGCAGAAGATCTGAGTTCAATTCCAGCACCTGTGTCGGGCAGCTCACAACCACCTGTAACTACAGCTCTGTTCTGGCCTCTGCAGGCACCAGCACACATTTGACATACACTCATGCAGACACACACACACACACACACACATAAATAAAAATAAATCTTTAAAAGATTTAAAGAATTCCTATAGCTAAGTAACAAGTCAAATTATTCAGTTTAAGAAATGGGAAAGGAATTGAATAAACATTTCTCTGAGAGTGACAGGCAAATGGCCAAAGCAGGAAAAGATGGTCAATGAAGTCATCAGGAAAATGCAAGTTAAAACCAGAACCACAATGAAGTAATGCCTTGTACCCATTAGGTTGGCTACCCCTGCCCCCCCCCCAAAAACACAAAACAAGTACCCAGAAAGTAACAAGTACTTGTAGAATATTTTAAAAATTGGAAACTTTGCTACTACTGGTGGCAATGTAAAAGGCAGCTATCACTTTTTGGAAAACAGTGTGCTAGTTCCTCAAACATTTAAAAATAGTTTCCATATGATGCAACAATTTCATGTCTAGGTGTATAGTGCAAAGAACTGAAATCACAGTCTCGGAGAGATATGTGTACACTTAGTTTAGAATAGCATTGCTTACAGCAGCCAATAAAATGCAGGCAATGTGGTCCATACATTCAATAGAATACTATTCAGCCTTCCAGAGAAAGGACCCACACAACATGATAAAACCAAGGCTGTTCTCCTAAGTGAAATAAGCTTGTCAGAAAAGGTTAAGCACCATCAGATTTCAGCTCTATGAGCTCCCTGTAGTGGTCAAACTCAGGGAGACTGTATAGAATGGGAGCTACCCTGCCTGTAGCAGGGACACAGAGAGTTTAATGGTAGAGAGTTTCAGTTTTGCAAGATGAAAAAAGTTCTAGAGATTTAGGGGCTGGGGAGATGGTTTGAGCTGATAAAGAGCTTTCCTTGCAAACATGAAGGCTTGAGTTTGGTCCTCAGAACCCATGTGAAAAACCTGAGAATAGCCACTGGCTTGTAATCCCAGTGCCGGGGGAGGCAGACAGGTGGATCCATGGTCTGCCAGCCTCACCTAACCATTGTAGCCCCAGGGCAATGAGAATGTCTCTTTAATAAACAGTGGACCTCTCATGAGGAATGACACCCGAGGTTGACCTGTGGCCTCCACATACACACATATACATGTGCAAACACACTATACTCACTGCCCACTGATCTATGGACTTAGCACGAGCTAAGGTGCTAACATTTACATTGTGTGTATTTAACAATTTTATGAAGCCCTGGAATCTTCATTATCATAAACTCTCTAGGTTTCCTGGGCTCATTAAGAACTCATGTATAGGCCAGCAAGATGGTCCAAGATGGTTCAACAGGTAAAGGTACCTGCTGCCAAGCCTGATGACTTAGGTTCAACTCCTGGAACCCACATGGGAGAAGAGAATGGACTCCCACAAATTGCCCTCTGACCTCCACATGCACACACACGCTGTGACACACTAGCACCCTTACACACATACGTTACACATACACCACACACACACACACACACACACACACACCCTCTCTTCTAACAGCTATGAGCGTTTGGGGGGGGGTTGTTTTTGTTTTTTGTCTTTTTGAGACAGGGACTCTCTGTAGCCCCAGCTGGCCTGAACTCACTATGTAGACCAGGCTGGCCTTCAACTCACAGAGATCTGCCTGCCTTTGCCTCCTGAGTGCTGGGGTTAAAGGCGTGCCCCACCATGCCCGGCTGTGAGGGTATTATTTTGAACATTTTGTTCTGATCAGTATCTGGATTTTTTTTAAGTGTGTATGTGCCACGTATGTCCAAAACTATATAAATAAGGATAAATTCATAGATTCCAGCCAGAGGCCCAGCAAGAGGGCCTTCCATCCTAAGGGAAGCCCCAGCTACAAAGCTCCTGTGTGCGGCACTGGGCCCTGGGCCCACAGGGCTCTCACATTTCTGCCTGGACAAGCTCTCCATCTCACCAGGAGTGTGTCAAGTAAACCAAACACATGCCCATAGGATGTCCCCAACAGGGGAGGTAATATCATACAGTGGTTTTGCCTCCCAGGCAGCTAGAGAGACAGGGCTGGGTAGATAACACAGGGAAACCACAATTCCCCAAGGCAGTCCTGCAAGCTGAAGGCCAGAAAGAGCCCTAGGGAGAGTTAGGAGAGGAAGCAGCTCCCTGCAGGAGCTCAGGGCCGCCCCTGCACCACCAACTGGCAAAGAAGACTCTGCTCACTAACCACAGTCAGTGACCAATGACCTCAGCCCAACCACATCAAGTCATGCAGTTATCTGTGATCCTCACTGTCACAACAGCACTTTGATACTGCCCACACTCAACTCCAACACCATCATTATGTTGTAGTGTGGTGAGGATGTCACTCTTTGGACACGAAGCATGAATTACTTCTAGCCAGCTACAGCAGAGGGACCCAGGCCACTCGGCTTGTGATCCCCCTGGAGCAGATCTACCATAAAACGAACGGATATGAAGCTTTGGGACTCTCCCTTACCCCTTAAGCCACAGAAAAGCATCCAGCAATATGTTCACACAACCAAGTGGTTGTGTAACACATACAAGATCCTTTTTCTGATGGGGCCTGACCCCAGCAACAAATCATGTAAGAATTGGGGCTGCTGAATGGTGAATCCCACTTACATGTCATGAAACTCTCCGCCTCTTACAGGGTCAAGTGCCTTCCTGATTGACGATCCTTATGAAACAGGTATTAATCTGTAAGCCACTTTTACAATTAAGAAAATGGGGATTTGAGAAAGGTTCTGTGACTTTTTAGGGTCTAAAGAGTAGACTGAGTTCCCAAATCCAAGCCTAGTGTTTATGACAGAACAGCTTCCTACTTACCCTTTCTTACACCTTCAAACAAAAGATGCTCTAAAAGAAACAAATAAGCAAGCTTCTTTTTGGATTACTCCATGAACAAACAATAACAATTGCTAACTGATGTAGCTCAGTGGTTGCCTAGCATGTACAAGGTCCTAAGTTTGATCCCTAGCACTGAAAATAATAACTGCTAAACTTTTACTGATCATTTGCCACTTGGCAGGCACTAAGCTAAGCTCTTCCAGCAAGGCCTCATTTACATCCCTACATAGGTCTGAGATAGACACAATCATTAACTTCTATACAGATGAGGAAACTGCCCCTCAGAGAAGTTCATTGATTTGCTCAACTACACACAGCAAGTAGAAAAGCCAGACTTAAGCCAAGTTCTCATTCTAAAGCTCTTGTATTTAACCTTGATGAAATATTCTAGATGTGGGGAAAGTCCAGCAGTATACAGTTAGGGCAGACAAATGCCGTTACAAGCACATAAAAGCTGGAGGAAGGAATGGAAAATGTGAGTGAGAGGTGATTCTACAGTGTAATCGCCCGAAAACTCGCTCTATGTGGATCTGGGTGCACAGGTCTCTGAAGAAACACTGATTCTTAGAGACCCACTTAAATATTGAGCATGGCACAATTCCTCGAGGCACCCCAAGTGATTTCCCAGCTGGCAAGAAAGGTGTCATCTGTCTTGTAACTAACCTTCCGCCTACACTGAATTTTTCAGTTACTCTAGGTTTCCACACGGTTTATCTTTCAACTTTTCTGAGGCAGCTGATAAGATTTGCCAGCCCTGTTAAAATGAGATAGGATCCTGCCAGCTGTCGAGAAATACACAATGAGATTGTCCTAAGAAAGAACCACCAGAGACAAAGGCCCAGAAAGAGGAGCCCCCTGTCTGCTGTCTGCCTCTGAGGCTGAAATCCAGTGGCTCTGGGTTCCCTGTTGGGGGCAGGGAGACCGGGCAATGATCATTTGCCTTGGGCCTGAGGTTTTCCTGTGTCTTGCTGAACAGGTCCTTGGGGGTCAGGAGACAGAGGAAAGGATAGTTTAGGAACAGTTCTGTACTGCGAGACAAAGAGAACAAAGATGCTCCTGGGGGCTGCTACCTGGTTCAGTGTGCCTGTCTCTGAGGATGCGGTCACTGGTGCTCTGACAAGCAGCCCCTGTCCCTTGGGTTCATCCACATGCCCGCCATCCTTCCTGGAAGGGTATTTCTGGTCTGCAATGCGCGGGGGCATCTCACCTTGCAGACAGGTGCCGGACAGTTTGGATGTCCCTCTCCTGGCACCCCAAAGGGTGATGCCTGCGGGTCAGGTGCACGCTGATCTACACCCACGTGACCACAGACAGCTGGACACCCCCACTTCACCCCCCAGGCAGGCCGGTCCAACCACTGTCCCCTGTGTGAGCCCAGGTGGAAGCGGTTCGGGTCCTAGGGCCCTGGGCACGCCGCAGAAACCCCAGTTCCCTCCAACCCACCGCCAGGCAGAGCCAGGGACCTGTAGCAGCAGCTGGAGCTGGGCCGGGCAGAGGCGGCCCAGGCCTGTCCCCGCGGCGGGGCCGGGCACGTAGCCCGCAGGCCTCGGCCAGGCCCGGCTCCTCCCGCCGCCCG